GTGCTTGGGAACTTTCTTCCCAACTTTATTCTCCACGGGTTCGGTGCTCTCCTGTCGAAATCAGACAGCTCTCCCCACTGCAGCCGTCCTGTCCTCCCTGGAGGAGCCCCCGTGGCCCAGGGGACACAGGTTTAACCCCTACCTGCCCGTCCCCGCTCTGCCGCTCGCCAGTGACGGCACCTTTGGGGTCAGGTTTCTCATCCACCTTCTCAGCTTTAGCTGCCGACTCGCAGGAACCATTGCTATCCTGCTTCAGGTCCACCTTGGCGCTTTCTTCCTCACTGTAATCCTCTTCCTCTGCCTGGAAGAGCCCCAGTTACTCAAGCAAGCACCTTTAGCAACGAGTCCCCTGGGCGTTTTCCCTCACAAGCCCTTAGACCTGCTGTCAGGTCCCTGTTCCTGTTGCCAGAGACCTGCCTCTTTCAAAGCAGAGGATTATCTCTCAAGGTCCTTTCTATCCCTGTGTTCTTACAGGAAAAGCAAACACTAAACACCTCTCCCCACCAGTGACATCAGACCCAAGAGTCAGGATTTCCAGGGCAGTCAGGACCAGCTCCACCACAGAGCCAGAGGCTGTCGGCGCCGAGAGGGACGGGTCTGCACGAGCTGGGGACACGGTGAGCACACAGCACGGGCCCTCCTGCCCTCCTTCCCTCCCACAGCCTCCTTCCCTCCCACACCAAGGGCCAGGATCCAGGCAGCGCCGTGTCTGCGGGTTCCCTGGAGCTGCTGGGCTGACTCACCCCGAGCCGAGCAGGAGCCTGACCTCGATTCACCCCCAGGAGCCTGCGAGCCCTGCTGCTCAGCACTAAAAATAGCCCTGCCTGATTAACAAAAAGACTGCTCTATATTTCTCTTTCAACACAGTGCATTTACACATCAACTGCTCCTCTTGTTTACGTTGGGGAAACCCAGCCGTGGCGTTATTTTTAGGCACAGGAACGGAGTCATCCTGGCAGTCAGTGATGCAATAGCCCCAGAGCAGACCAGGGCTGCTCTCTGTGGAGCTGCTCCCACCATCCTCCTGCCACGAGCCTTCCTCGCCCAGAGACTGTCACAAACTCACAGCCCCTGAGCTTCAGCTTCATCCGTTCACAAACCCACAGCCCCTACGAGCTCTGATTTCATCGGCCTTGTTGGCTTGTGTTTTCTCCAGCTGCTGCTCCCCTCAAGATCCCCAAAGCAGTTGTCTCAAGAGTTTTCACTAAAAAACCTTCATTACAGCTGTTAGAAAGCAGAACTTCTCTATACTTCCTCGAAAAATTCAACTTTTAGTTCTGAATTCAAAGCCCAGGGAAACCCACAGCCACAGGGTGCTGCCAGGAATAGTTACAGGGGGGACCCCAGGCACAGGGAACAGGGCTCGGTGCACATGAGGGGGGATTTTCTCCATGTACACCCAGCACAGAGCTGCCAGCACCCACCCCTCCAGCTACAGGAGACAGGGACACTGCCCAGGACGCCTCCAACCCAGCACTCACACTTTTAATTTCAATTAATTAAAACACAACCAGCATCCTGCACTTCCTTCCACACCCCACACGGCCAAGCTCTGCTCCTAGGACCCCACCTCTGCAGACCCAGGCGGTTTCTCCTGGTGCATATGGGCCCTACACCCACACCTGGGCAGTGTGGGCAGGTTCTCCCTGGCACTGGGGGTGGTACCAGGGACTGTCTGTGATAGGATGGCACAATGGGGGGCTCAGCTGGGCGGGGGGCTCAGTGGGGACACCCACGGCCCAGCACACTCTGAGTCTGTGCAGCTGGCACCAAGCACACAGGCTGCTGTCCTGGGACTGGCAGCAACTGCTGCTGATGGGGACAGAGGAGGAGAACGAAGGACACAGAGTGGGTCTGTGCTGACAGGCGAGGCTGGAGTCGCTCAGCAGAACCCCTCAGGGGCCAGGCTGGAGACTCCTCTTACCTCCGAGTCCTCCGCGCTTTCGTAATCCGAGAGAACGGCTGCGGGGGAAGAGGGGGTTGGGTGTGAGGGCAGCAGCAGGGACACGGCTCTGCCCCAGCAGCTTCTCCCCAGCAGCCCCAGAGGGCAGCACCCACACGTCCCTGACCCACAGCACGGGCAGCTCCCTCAGGAGGAACCGAGGGAGACTCTGGGCCCCGCTGTCCCCGCGCCCCACGCCCGCTGCTCTGAGCTCTGGGATCCCACTGGCACTCACCATCCCCCTCGATGCCATCCTCGCTTTCCTGCAGAGAGAGGGGGAGAAGGAGCATTAGTGGAGGGGCAGGTCAGATGCTGGGTCCTTCCAGATCCATCCTATCATCCCAAAGAAAACTAAACAAGATTTGGCCCTGGTCCAATTCCATCCACCCTTGGAAGTTCAGCTCCAGTGGCCACGAATAAACTCGGGGCTCCCAGCACCTTCCTCTAAGGTCCTTCCAGAGGTGGGGGAGACAGGTCAGGGAGAAAAGTGCAACCTGCTGCAGGTCCCAAGAGAGAAGGGAGCAACACGGCCAGAGGAGCCAGAGCCCCCTCCCTCAGAACTGGAGAGCCAGGTAGTGCACTCAGGAAAGGACAAGAGGCTTCCTAAAGCAGGAGCCCAGAACAACGCAGGGACACTGAGCAGGACGGAGGTCAGGCAGAGCTCTGCTAGAGACCCCAGTGACACAAACAAACCCTGCACCCCACAGACAGCTCCAGATGAAGCACAACACCTCAGAACAACCCAAGTTTTCAGTAAAGGGCCAGACCCATTGAGCCAGGCAGTGTCAAAAACCTCAGGCCAAAAACAAAAGCGGCCAATGCGTTAACAAGAGGAGAGCAAACACCAAAACAACCTAGCAGAGGTAGCTGCAGTTTGAGAGGACGCTGAAATAAGCAGCGCTATAAACCCAGAACAGGACTAAATCGTGGCTGGCTATAAACTGCCCAGCACTACCCTGCAGGGACAGGGGGGCAGCAGCACCCCCCAAACCCTTCACGATAGCTGCTCCCTTAAAAGAAAAAAACGCGGTCAGAGTAGATGAGGAGCTGGGGGCCGGGACCCGCTGGGAGGAGCCGGCCCCGGGGCACGAGGGAACGCCCTGCCCGGTGCCGGGGGGCCGCAGGGAGCAGCTTCCCCCCGCGCACACACAGGGGGGGC